TTTAAAATTTTATCCAACCCTAAAATTAGTAATTTCAAATTTTAACCCACGGACACATTTTATTTTAATAATAATCAAAATAAAGTTATTCAAAAGAGTTTCATTAGGTCTTGAGTACATTGCTCATAATTAATGATTCAGCTTATTTGTGCATATGTAATGACTAAACATAATGTTGGTAAAATGCTTTATTAAAAATGCTATTATACATGTTGTACAAGTTTGGTGTTCATTTTTTCACAAATAACACTTATTTATCTACTGTGTTTGACCATACAGTTTTATTGAAATTTTCTTTTTAATTAGTTGCTATAGAAGCCAGATAAACTGGGTTATAGACACATGTACTGTCTTCACATAAAAATATAAAGTAATGATTGTAAAATGTATTCTACTGAACATAATAGATCATCATTCAAACCATAAACAGCTACATATTTTCTTCAAGGTAAGCTGGAGCAGAATTCTAGCTTTCAATAAACACTTTAAAATGGATATTACAACTCCAGTTTAGGGCTTCTTGTAGGACTTAAAGTTATCAAGTATGCTTATATTAGTGCAGTGTGTTGCATTACTACATTCGATGTATTGCTATATATATTATAGTAATGTATGTGGTCTAAATGTGTTCTACAGTGTGTTAGGATTGTCGTGTTCCTGTAAAGTAGAACAGTCACGGATGTTTGTCTTCCTACAAATGCTCGGAAAAATATAAATAGGCTACTTTGTGAAGGAGTTAGGACATAATATATAATATTATTCAATAATTACCACAAATTGCCAGGGGAAATGTCATTATATTGAATTTTTGTGATTTGTCCCACCATACGCAGTTCAAACTGACTCACGGCGCTGGGATGTTTGGAACTGAGAGCTCCGTGAACCACGTGACCGCGAGTCGGTGTGTTCAAAGAGTGTCGTAACTCTCTCTCTATAGCTCTGACAGAACCCTGCCCTCCTCTCCCAATGATTGAACAGGGATTCGAGAAACGTGACTGGTAGCTAAGACTCGTGCTCTCATTGGTTCCACCCAAGTTCCTACCACAGATGCTAGAATTGAGACAAAAAGATCCGTAACACTGTAGATTTGAGGTTTGTACCTGTAGAATGAAATGTGTTTTGAGAGTTTTGATTTCAAACATGTACATTGATTTTTTTTATTTTGGAAGTCTGCTAGGTAAAAACGGAAAGGTTCATGTTTCTGAATGAATGTTTGATGTTACAAAGTGAGTAGTAAATGTACAAAATAAAAGTTTGATTTTGCAAAACAAAAAATACATGTTACATGTCATGAAACATGTTCCAAGTTACAAAACTTGATACAAGTTACATTGAATTGTCCCAATCCTAGCTCCATACAAAATTAGCAAACAAATTAGGATCAATCACAGTTCACCTCTAATCAGGGCATGAATGCACGTAGCAGCTAATAGATTTAGAACAATGCTCCTGAGCACAGTGAGGGATTTGCATTATTTAATTAAAAAAGACAAGAAAATAACAGGCCAGTTGTGTTCAAAGTTATTTTAGTGTAATGAAACCTAGATTATTAGTTAAAAGATCATAAAAACTACCATACTTAGTTAATTTTGATTTGTGATCATTAATCATTTACAAAATTTCAGTCTTTTCAATTATTCTGAATGTTACATTTTTCAATGTTTTCATTTTCTTTTATTTTATCATCACTACACTTTGAAATATGCTTCTGTGATCACATTCCCAATAATAACATACTTTTTCCTCTAAAGGGATAACAAAGATTTTGGTTTTAAATGATTTATTTTTGTTTTAAATGGTTTTTAGTCCACTTTAAGCTAAACAAGGCTGAAAATCGTTTAAATCTTAGCATTTTGGTTTATTTCCCCTCTTTTTTCATGAGTATTTTCTAAAAATAAAATAAAAAAGATTTGCAAGTTTTTTTTCTTTGCTGTGGACATCAGTAACAGCAGAACACAAAATAAATGTTTGCGTTGGTTAGTTAAAAGCATCTTTGCAGCTTACGATCTGTAATCTGGAGAGCGAGGAAGACGAGGACAACAAACCAGCAGCCTCTGTGATTTTTTTCCCTGGAATCACCAATAATACAAGTCAAGCCGTTACCATGAAAACGAAGGAATTCCTGGCACTGAGTGACCGGCCATTTTCCATAGACAAGGATAGACATTTCAGAAATCTGATCCATCACCTGAGTGCACGGTACATAAACAAGTAGGAGAGCCTTCTCAGATGTTGCACGACCAGAATTGTTTAATCTCAAATCATGCGGGGCACGCAAGCTGCTGAAAGCTGCAATCAGTTTTACAACTTGAGGAATTTATAGGACAAGTTGTTGGCCTCTGTAGTTTTATATTTCAGTAACAGGGAAAGCAGATTTGAAAACACGGAGGATATTCTGGTGAATATCTCTGATTCTGAGCACAGTTTTTACCTAATTAAAGGCTAGAAAAGGGATTTTATTTGCAAATTGTTGTTTCATTCATAATCTAGGTCGGGAAAATGTAAAATACGCTTCTTTATTTATACTTTATACTTATATTTAATACTTTATTTTAGGAAAGGAAATAATAATCCAAGAAATGTAATACTTGTAAATATTAGAAACTCTTCCTAGGACCTTCAAAGATGGACATCAAGGGCAGATCTAAAGAACGGTCAAAGGGGACCACTGTCCGCTGCTGAAGAGCCCCCCCTCCACCCCACCAGTTTTATGTCCTAAAAATATGCCTTAAACACCAAAATTGATAACTAAAATCAGTTCTAGACAGTAGCTTGTTATTTTAATTAATACCTAAAAGTTTATTTGTTTCCTCCAAAAATCAAACGCCCCACCCAGGTAAACTTCAGATTACTGATGGATTTAAATGCCTCTGAAAAACAAAAAAATACGGGCTTATTACTGGTGTATTGTAATAAACAAAACATCAAAATACATAATTTGTTATTGATCAAACAAAGAGATTTTCTGAAGATATGAAACATTTAAAAAGTAGAAATGCCTTGACTCCATGTCCCTGTGTCTTATGATTAAAACCGCTGTTCTTGCTCTCAGATCTTATTTCCAACATGAACAATTAATCAATGTCTTTAGGCTGCAGCTCAAATTCACATTATACATGATATCAATGTCCTATTTAAAGCAGACACAAATGAGGGAAATGCACATAAATATTTTAAAATGTGAGTTTGATTCTTTTCTTTCTATTCAAGTCTTTCTGTCCCTTTTTGTGTGAGGGACATGTGCTCCGCTGGGGTCAGCCCGTAACCCAACCTAGAGCGAGTCCGACGGAGCTACACAAAAAGTGTGAGGGCGGGGGTGGACCAGCATACTTCATGGGCTCTGTCCCACTTTGCACCATTATTGCTGTGGAGGCTGGCAGGTCAGAGGGAGAGAGGCTTGATGGAGAAGGAGGAGGAGCAGAAGGAGAAGATGAAATTACACCTGTTCTGGTGGCTGACTAACGACTTTGAAATGTGAGCGGCCCTCGCTCGCCGCCAAAATCATTTTCCCAACTATACGGCCTGATCTTTGAACAAGCAGAACTGGGACGCTGTGCACCGAGGTGACGTAGAGGTGGAGCGGAGACACACTCAAACACGTCTGATGCAGTGTGTGTGTGTATATGTGTTGTTGTCTCAGGGGCGTATCATCACTTTGCATTGTTTAACCTATTATTTAATCTATTTTTCTCCACATCCTCTGAAATCTAGTGGATTCTCAAATGAAGTCCCATTCACATTGAAGAATTGGCCAAAATAGAGCCCTCTGCATTTATTCCAAATGTGTGCACTCACCGTTTGCACAAATTCCAAGTTACTTTTGAAAAAGCAAGAAAGTCTGCAAGTGGAGGACATCTTTTGTACTTTGTAAAGATGTCAGAATTATTCACCTTCATTGATAGAAGTAGATGCTAGGGTTTATAAAGACTTCCGTAGAAGTAGAAGAATCACTTCAAGCTTTTTACTCGTGTAAAAAGTAAAAAACTGTAATGCATGCTGAAGAAAAAGCCACTGAGGCTAGGAATATACTTGCTTTTTGACTACACGTTGATGCAGGCGGCATGCTGCACTGCGTGTAGTACTGCAGGATTCCACTAGGGGGCACGGTACGGAACTAGATAGAGTACCGGATTTGTAAGGTACAAACAAAACAAACATGATGAAAAGAAGGGAGATCAGCAGCTGGTTAATTTTGAGACTACGACAGAAAAAAGATGACGGCGGTATCGTAGCAGGTATGTAAGACCTCTAAACCAGACACGGCGTGACAATGGCGAGTACGTTTTGCTTGTTTTTTCAACTCCCCCTACTGGTTGTTCACATATTGCAGCTAGCAAACGTGTCACATTAATTTCAGAGGATGCGCACAAACACTTCAGACGCAAGTTACGCTAGGCAGCCATGATGAACATGCAAACGTGGGATTAAAAAGTATATTCTTGGCCTAAGCTGCACACTACAGTAGCCCAAAGGAACATTTTTCCAAAAGGCCATATGGTATACTGTTGTAAAAAGAGGTTAATGTTGGCTAACAGACAATAGGGTTTGGATACCTAAAGATTCTACTTAAGTAAGGTAATGAAATATTTGTACTTTTTGGTGTAAATGTCCTTTAAGTCAGATTTTAGAGACTCAACATACAAAGAAAAAATTATGGCCAAGATAAACTGTTAAAGGAAATTTAGAAAGCCTGTAGAATAATTTAGTCCAGATCATTTATTCATGATGTAAGTCTTGGTGCTTGAAAGTAAAATGAGGAAATCATGAGAATTTAGCAATTTTCTTACACTTCGCCTAAAAGAATGTATGTTTTGGGTTAACTTCGCCTGCAGCCATATTGTTGCTGGACTGTCACACACACACACACACACACACACACACACACACACACACACACACACACACACACACACACACACACACACACACACACACACACACACACACAATAAAAGGTTGAGACACACCAACCTGAACACATACAGTGGACTTTAACTCACCATCTGTTCGCTCAGGTCCTGCGAGGCCTCCATGGCTTCTTTAGATCTGATCTCACTTTAAAAGAGAAGAAGAAGAAATGTCAGTGTCTGGATTATTGAACCAAACCAGATTTATTTTAAATTGCTACAAGTTGCTCACATGTTTTTGTGAGGAAATGTATTAAAGCTGATGAAACCACACACCATGATGTGGCGTTTGTACCTTCTGCCTTGTGTTTACACGTGTTTGAGCAACAGGAGACCAAAGGACGGAAGTGCAGCGTTAACTTCAGCATATCATCTTTGGCCGAGGGTGAAGTGGAGCGATAATTGCAGAAGTAAATATCAACATTGAAAATGGAGACGTGTAAATGATACGGCTGCTTGGCGGGCTCCGGACCAGAGACACAGCGGCTGACTGGTGCGCGAAGACAGTGAGTGACCTCGTTAATTCTAGACAGGAGACAGGTTGGCGGAGGGGAGCTTGGAAGTCGGGCAATTGTCTCCAACTCGAGTGAGACAAGACGCCGCACTACAGAGCAAGAAATTATTTTCTGTTGCTGTAGGTGGCAGAAAGTGACACTGGGACAAAATGACCAGCAAAGGACACTTCTTTTTTTGTTTTTGTTTTCATTTTTATTGTACAAAGGGCATCAGAAGAGTTTGACGAACAAAAGAGTTTGCTGCAAAGAAGCACACAAGCATGCAAACACAACAGTCCCTCCCTGTTACTAGATCTGTGGTTCCCATGCGGAGGTGTTTACAGCTTGGGTTTTTCCTGAGCTGAACACCGTTCTGCACCTGAACATGGAAAAAGCACCTTTCTGCTCATGGCGTTTTGGTTTTTGGATCAGCAAACAACACGTGTGCATTTATGTTGTTCGAATGCAAAATAAAAAGCAGCGCCTGGTCAGTATACCTAAAAAATGCCAGCTTGAAATAAAGTCTGAGTTCTATATACTAACAAGTAAAGAAAGAATCCAGAGTTTTCCTCTTTTCAGGAATTATTTATGACTTGTACACCCCTTTCAAAAGTACGGATTTGATCAGGAGCTCAATGAACAAAGGACAGTTTCCAGAATTTTCACAAGGATGGCTCTATTGAAAACTTGTTTTAACTCTATAACATGAAATTAAGGTTATTATTATAACTTAGATCCCAAAATCTTCAGTTTTACTAAAACTGGTTGAAGCAAAAATGAATACACCCCACAACAAAAACTACTACTAGTATTTTGTATTTTTACTTCTAGTAATTTGTATGACCACTGTTATTTTCAAGGACAGCACCAAGTCTTTTAGGCATGGAATGAACAAGTTGGTGACATATTGGAACATTATCTTTTTCCATTCTTCAAGAATAACCTCTTCTAGAGCACCATGTAGACACCATGAATTTCTCTTTGAAATCCTCACCTTTACAACGTCATACAGTTTTGAAACATTAGTTCCAACAACAGTGATCTTTGTCTATCACTCCAGAGTCTAGAGTCCCAGTAGTCTTCATCTCTTCCAGCATGGGCCCTAGATAATCCTAGGTGTGCGTTTGTGTGGATGGGCTTAAGGAGAGGCTTCCTTGGTGGATGATACCCATGCATGCCATTCCTGTGCAGTGTGTGCTGTATGGTGTCATGGGAAACAGTCACTCCAGTGTGGCTTTCCACTGCTTTAGCTAACTGCAGTGAACTTGCATGGAGATTTTCTTCAATCCTTCACATCAGAAGATGGTCCTGTCGAGATGTTAACTTCAGTGGATGGTCTGGACGTTTCTGTAAGATGGGGAGTACTCATTTTTGCCCAGCACTGTATATATATATACATACATAAATATATATGTTCAATATATAGCGTGATAATTATCACGCTATATATTGCAATATTGGCAGTCTTAAATGGTCTCTGTTATTTTTAAGTGACACTAACAAATATCAGAAGGTTATTTTTTATTTTAAAGATTATTATTCAAAAGCTGTTAAAAAAGTTTTGGAATAATAAACAAAGTTTACTTTAAACTAAAATCTTCAATAATTAATTCAATTCAATTCAAAAATACTTTATTAATCCCAGAGGGAAATTGATTGCTGTAGTAGCTCAGAATAATAATAATAATAATAATCAAGTCATCAAAGAGGTGTTGTATATTACAATGGCTGTTGGCAGGAACGATCTCCAGTAGCGGTCAGTGTTGCAGCCAAACTGAAGAAGCCTCTGACTGAAGACACTCTTCCGTTGTCGGACAGTCTTGTGAAGAGAATGCTCAGGGTTGTCCATCATTTTCTTGATTCTCTGGAGAATCCTTCTTTGCATTATCTCCTCCAGCGGTTCCACAGTCGTCCCCAGAACAGAACCGGCCTTTTTTATTAGGCTGTTGATCCTTTTCAGGTCCCTGCTTCTGATGCTGCTACCCCAACAGACGATGGCTGAAGAGATTACACTCTCAACAACAGACTTGTAGAAGATCTGCAGCATCTTGCTACAGACATTGAAGGACCTAAGCGTCCTCCAGAAGTGCAGTCTGTTGTGTCCCTTCTTGTAAACAGCTTCGCTGTTCTTTCTCCAGTCCAGTCTGTTGTCCAGGTGAACTCCAAGGTATTTGTATTCCTCAACCACCTCCACTTCTTCTCCCATGATGGAAGCAGTGTTTGACTCCACCCTGTTTCTTCTGAAGTCTAAAATCATCTCCTTTGTTTTGTTCACGTTCAAGGTCAGATGATTGTTTCCACACCATGCCACAAAGCGCTCCACCAGCTCTCTGTACTCAGCTTCCTGTCCATCTCTGATACACCCGACAACTGCAGAGTCATCTGAGTATTCCTGTAGATGACAGGTCTCTGACTTGTACTGGAAGTCTGACGTGTACAGGGTGAAAAGGAATGGTGAGAGTACAGTCCCCTGTGGTGCTCCAATTTTACTGATGTTCACCTGGTTTGATGTGCAGTTCTTCTTGTGGGGCGACGGTGGCACAGGAGTTAAGTGCTCACCCCAAAATCAGAAGGTTGCAGGTTCAAACCCCGCTCAGTCTGTCGCTGTCGTTGTGTCCTTGGGCAAGACACTTAACCCACGTTGCCTGCTGGTGGTGGTCGGAGGGACCGGTGGCACCAGTGCTCGGCAGCCTCGCCTCTGTCAGTGTGCCCTAGGGCAGCTGTGGCTACATTGTAGCTCATCCCCACCAGTGTGTGAATGTGTGTGTGAATGGGTGAATGACTTATTGTGTTGTAAAGCGCCTTGGGGGGTTCCAGGACTCTAGAAGGCGCTATATAAAATACAGGCCATTTACCATTTACCATTCAGCCTCACAAACTGTGGTCTGTTTGTCAGGTAGTCTTTCATCCAGGTGATAGTTGAGGCCCCCACCTGTGTCTTCTGGAGTTTCTGGCAAAGTACATCAGGCTGGATTGTGTTAAATGCACTGGAAAAATCAAAGTACATGACCCTCACAGTGCTGCCTGCTTTGTCCAGATGACAGTGGATTGGTTGAAGCAGCTGGATGATTCTTGTGGATCCACAAACTACTCAAGACCTGAGTGGAGAGATTCGGTGAGACAAGTTTGTTGTTTGTCTCTGTGGTACCGAGAGAAAATCCTAGGTGACCAGAGAATGAAGTGGTGTCGTCCGCCGTGAATAGGATGGTTTTGACGGGTTCTTTTGAATGCTGTCTGTATTGGCTTGGTTTTCTGCATTTTAGCCGAAATTAGAAATGCAACTCTGGTGTAAGAAATAGATGGTGTCGTTCGCCATGAATATGATGGTTTTGTAAAGTGGTATGATAACTATGGCGATTCAAATTATGGTGACATCCGCCTTGAATAGGATGGTTTTGACAGGTTCCTTGAATGCTGTTTTGGTCAAAGAGAAAGATATACAGATTCCGGGAATGCTGTAATTTGGCTTGGGTTTTTGACCGTTTTAGCCGGAGAATTAGAAACGTGCTCTAGTTATCTGTGTTGTTGTTTGTTCTTAGATGTTGTCTGCTTTAATTTTTGTTCGAATGGATGAGAAAGTGTCTGGACTTGCTTATTCTCGTAGAAAGAAGGATATTGCAACTCATTTGCACACGTCTCAAGTTGGTGGTCAGACTTCTAAACTGGTTGGCTGATAAGCGAGCCCCGCTGTGGGTAGATACACAGTTGGAGGGTGGATTCGCAAGCCTGAATCTGACCTCATGCGAAAGTAGAGACGGTGTTTATCGATATTGGGGGGGGGGGGGGGGGGGGGGGGGGTACTCACAAAATACTTTTTGAGTTAATATTGTACACTGATGGAAATGTCAATCCAGGAAATGTGGAAATGATCTGAAGATTATCAGAGGATTGATGGTAAACGTGATTTTGATAACCGCAGGCGTGTCACAAATGTATTATGCTTGCGAGGAAGCACAGAGTAGTGGAGATAAAAGAAAAGGTTGAAAATGTGAAACAGAGAGGAGGCAAGGCCTGCCTAAAGAATCTAAACAACCGCAGCTGTGCTCTGAGCCTGAGCCGCCAAGGTCAATTGCGGCCTGAACGGTACAGCTAGAGAATAAAAATGACAAATATAATTTGAACAGATTCTCATAATTGTTATTTATTTGTTTTTGCTGTTAAGCACAGCTGCTGAAGACTTTATTGCATTTGAGCCCCTCTACGTGGACTTCAATAAGTCCAGCCAACATATTTCATGTTCAGAATACACGCTGTCCACTGAGGTGAATATATAGTAAATTATTTGCAAATTATTAAATGTTACAAACAATATTTGTTGAAATTTGTTTCATTCACACCCAAAGATAAATGAGAATAATTGTTAAATAATCATGGTTGAAGATTTCATAATTCATGCATCAAAAGCTTAATCACTGGCCAAATATTTAGTTCCTGGTATTCTGGTGATTAATATAATTTGAACTATAACCTGTGTCACTTTTAGTGGCTGGAAGTGAAGGGGTTTACTGGAATCCCTCAGTTTGAGACATTGACTGTTTATCAGTACTTGGTAGTAAAAGAGTGCCCAAATAAAAGCTAAGCGTGTATATTTTGGTCTAAACAGTATTCTCAGACCAACTAAAACTAATGACTATTGTCAAATTGCATTTTATCT